TATTATTTTTATGCTAGTGTAATGCTATAGCTAATGCATATAGGCTAATTTGAGCCCCGACAAGACTGATATTGTGAAATAAAACAAACTAATTAAGTTTTTTTTTTTGCGACAGTGACTATGTTTATTATTATCTATACTAATTTCCAAAATTCACAACATGTTTTATCTACAGAAATATTCTGCTTCGGTTCATATTTGTTGGCATTTAGACTTTCAAATACAACATTTTCACTGCGGTGAAAAACTTTTGCTTTTTTTGCTTTGAGACACGCACATTCGGGAGCGGTCTATAGCTCTTACACAATTAAATATTACAAAAAATATCGTATTTTTTAGGGTGATGACGTCATAAAATATGACAACAGACATTCAAAGCTTCATTGTAAAACCTCAAAAGAAGCTTCGAATGTAAATATGATATGACAAAAATGACATTGAGTTCAGTCTAGTATGAACGGTCAGAATGACCGCTATGGCCATTCTAGTAGTTATAGAACTCCGGTAGTTCTAGTGTTAAATGCCATAGAAATTTGCGTATCAAATATGATACAATAGGCTCTTATTTAAATATTTGTTAAACATTTTTAAAAACATATTTAAACATAAAAATGTAATTATTAGCTTTTTTTTCAACTCACAAACACCCTGCGGTTCCCTCGTGAACCACAGTTTGGGATACCCTGAGCTAAAGCATGGCACCAACTGGAACCTTTCGAGAAAAAAAAAAAAAAAAAAAAAAAAAAAAAAAAAAAAAAAAAATAGTCATACTAAATGCTCAGAACATCAAAAGGGCTCACCTTCATGAAAGTGTCATCTAGCCGCACGGCCTGCTGGGAGTCCTCCAGTGCCTCTCTGTAGCGACTCAGCATCATCAATGTGGCCGCACGGTTGCCATAGTAACTGGCATTTTTCGGGCACAAGTCTGTTAAAAGGACACAAACAAAAAATGTAGATAGACACTTCAGTAAACAGAAAGGGGAATTTAAAAAAAAAATCTGTGGTTATTTTTGTTAAAACCGGAATGGAAAAGGTCACCAAAACATTTCTATAACAAGTGGTTGCTATGACAAAATCTATTCTGGAAATTATGTTACAGGCTTCAAGGAAAACATGTGGAGACCAGAGAAACCGTGTGCTCATGAGTGAATATTGAGTCTAATGTGAGGGCACAGTATGCGATTCAGAAGTGTGTAGGAACAACCCAATGCAAAAGATGCCCACAGAAAGCTAGGCAGACAGATGAACCACATACAGCAAAGTACTCTTTTAAGGGTTCTTACCGATGGCCTTGGTGTAGAAGTTGAAAGCTTCAGCATAGTCCTTCTTGACATAGTACACATTTCCCTGTTCTTTGAAGCCTTCCGCTTCCCTGCGGATTGAGACAAACAAAAATGATAACAGTGCCTCCAGAAACAGAAGATCAGAACAGCTGTTAGAAAACTTGTTAAGATTTAGCCGCTCCAAACTGAACATCCTCTTTGTGCTTTGGGACATGGATATGCCACAAGTCCTCACAAAAACCAGATGATATAGATCAGAAAATACCGCTGGCATGTGCATATCACATTTCGAAGATGTGAGACCTCTAAAGAATGGGCTGCATTGTCAGGACTCAAGCTCCAGAATACCTGCCTACACCGGTGTAATAAATACTTCAACACGCAATATTAACAGAGGCAGAAGCCCATCATGGTCAGTGAAAGTGTGTGTGTATTTACCGAATACATTGTGTTCTGAACTATAGGTGTCTGGGGGAAGTGTACAAAGTAAGATTAGGCTGCTAAACATAGATACTTCACTACCAGTGGTGTCTGTTTTAAATCAGTCAAACAGCACACAGATGTATGGCATCAGGTGGGATGGAGTGCTTTCTGGGAAACAATGCAGGGCGGTATACGTTCAAAGAAGACTAGAGAACGAGTGTCACATTACCAGCTTTAACTTCACCCATCTATACTGAAGAGTTAAACATAAGAGTGGAGCAAAAGGAAACAGTTCTGCAACAGTGAAAGCCATCTGTAGAGATGGTTAACTTTATTCCTCTGAGGATTCAGAGCACAGCGGAACTGTGGGTAACGAGGGCAACATAAGCCCTTTATATCTACACATTTTATGACAACATGATTTTTTTTCAAAGTGAATCATTTTTTTGGGAGAAAACGTGACTTTTTTTCTATTCGACAACAATTTCTAAAGCTACAAAGCAAAGCAAAAAGTGAAACAAAATGAAAACCGAATTATTATTCTGAGAAATTACGAGGTCACATTGCAACATCAGAAAAAAAAAGTTTAAAAAAAAGTTTCAATTTTGAGTTCTCAGAATTGCGAGGAAAAGGCCAAATAGTGAGCTAAAAAGTCGCATATACCCTTCAATAAGGCTCAGAGGTGACGAACATTAAAATCACAATGAAATGGAAGTAGTGACAGATCTTTTCTTCCACACTGTGACATACCTCAGAGTTGTCGTTGGAGATTCTTAGTCCTCCTTTCCGTTCTTTCAATCGCTTTACGTATACGTAGACTTTCCATGTCCATTATTGTGAAACCCGTAAGACACAACAAAAACACAGCTCCGATCACAGCGTCCTCCAGGTTCTCTGGAATCCTCTCAAGCGGTGGACTTCTACATTCCGATTGGTTGCAGCCGAACCGCGTCATAGCTCATTACCATAAAGTTGACCTGATTTTAACTCTCCTCAACGTCCAAGACATGCCGCGCCGCTGCTCAACGCCGGCTCACATTGAAAATGAATGACTTCCGGCCACTTTGACGCTCTCGACGATGGCGGTGTGAACGCACGGTCTTTGTTGAATAATACAGAACATAAAGAGCTTTAAAAAATAATTGCATATTAAATAGCAATCGCAATATTGGTAAAAAAAAATTTGATTTTCCAAAATCGTTCAGCCCTACTTAAAACAACTTTTACTATTGGTTGTTGATTAGATTTTAAGATGTGGGATCACTCAAAAATGGAGTCAGATCTGAGTGTGAGCTTGCAGTTGATTGTGGCCAGGATTTAAGCAGACTAAATGACTGAAGTAGTCCAACACACATGACCAGAAATAAGTGTCATTCACCGGAGAATCGAGTTATGACATAATAGCCTTATTCAGACTAACATTCACATGTTGTTTGAAATCCTGTTCAAATTGCATTTAGGGAAACCTGTTTTGTTTGAGTGCTCTGATCAGATTTTGTGCAGCTTTCTCATGCCATGTAAAATGTAAACACGTCAGATGTTGTTTGTATAAAGAAAACATAGTGAATGACTTTGTAGAAACAAGGTTGTGTTGTTGCGAAGTACGAGTAAAGCAGAAAATTACAATATACAGCTAGTCTACACACCTCTTTAAATTTTGAGACTAGCTGCGCATTTCAGCTTCCTATGTTTCTGCTGCTGCCTCATAAAATTCAGTGCAATGGCAACATGTTGTAAGACAACAACGTTGCTGCACAGAAAACAATGCATATATTCCGTAAAACAAAAGAGTGCCACAGGACAAGCAAACCAAATCTGAATGGTTACAATTAGTGCTGTCAAACGATTAATCGCATCCAAAATAAAAGATTGTTCACATAATATATGTATGTGTGCTGTGTATATTTATTATGTATATATAATTATATATATATTTCAGAAAAATAGGTTATGTTTATATATTAAATGTTTATTTATAATATAAATTATATGAATATAAATATAGACATGTAAATATTTTCAAAATATATACTGTGTGTATTTATATATACACATTATAAATATACACATAACACACATATCATGCAAACAAAAACTTTTATTTTGGATGCGATTAATCGTTTGACAGCACTAGTTACAATACACATTGTGGACATCAAAGATTTACATCAGATACCAAATAAATACACAAATAATCAAATTTGGGCTGACAGGGTGAACACAACTTTTGATTACAGATTACAAAGTCATTCTTTTTTTTTTAAAAGAACAATAAGATCCACTTGCATTTAGAAAACTGTGTTTTTTTCATTTCATTCTGACAATAAGACCCTTTCTTGTAAATCCCTGATTTTCTTTGATTATCTTCACCCAGGTTTCAGGTCAAGCTGACCAAAAGCCCAATGACATCATAAGTAGACTTGTGCCGGTATTCGGTAATGCGATATATCACGCGTAATGAATATGCACGATATTGTTATCGTGGGCACGTCTAAATACCGATAAAAGCATTAGCAATTAATCGCAACATGAAAATTTGATACCGGCATATCCCTAATCATAAGACACATTGACACAAATGACACAAACAATAAACTAATTACTCACATCCTGTCACAATTGCAAATCAAGTGAGCATGCCATTAGGGATGTAACGATATGAAAATTTCTTATCACGATTATAGTGACCAAAATTATCC